GTGTTTGGGACTTGAAAGAAGACAATATATTTCTGTCTCCTGTGTTTGGGACTTGAAAGAAGACAATATATTTCTGTCTCCTATGTTTGGGACTTGAAAGAAGACAATATATTCTGTCTCCCATGTTTGGGACTTGAAAGAAGACAAATGCAGACAGGCAAACGTCTGAAGTGGAACTATAGTAAGAACAAGCTAAAAGTATTGATTTGGAAAATAATAACTGTGGTATGATAGTGACTAGCATAAAGAAGATGTGCTCTCGTAACTTTTATCGAGTTACACAAATATGTGTATATATATATATATTGAACAAATACACACACACACACACACATATATATATACATTGAACAAACACAAATACAATTGAACAAGTATGTATACATCTTTATAGATAAAACGTAAATGTATATACAAACTAGGAATACCAAATATCAACACAAAACACAAATACATCAAGAGAAACTAGAAATACCAAACATCAACACAAAACACAAATATAAAATTTCATTGAAACTCAAATACTTTTATACAAAACAAGCGCAAATGTAAAAGATAAAACAAAATAGAAATGCACAAAATAAAACAAATTATTGCAATAACAAAGTGCCAAAACTGAAACATAAAACCAAATGTAAGTTTCTGAAACAAAATAGAACTAAAAAAAAACAAAACAAGTACATTAAACTAATGAGATAAAATAGTACCCATATCAGTGAACTTTCTGTATTGATAAGATTCGACAGAATTGGGTATTTATGGATATTCAGATGTTACATGAGACAATTTGGAAACAACTGTAAATAATTACGTTAAACAAAGCTTTAAACCACCAGAATAACACCGCGTGTGGCTAATATTTTGTTATATTCTCGAAGAATAACACCGAGTGTTGCTAATATTTTGTTATATTCTCGGAGAATAAGACCGAGTGTTGCTAATATTTTATGTTACATTTTCGAAGAATAACACCAAGTGTTGCTAATATTTTATGTTACATTTTCGAAGAATAACACCAAGTGTTGCTAA